AGGGGGCAAGGAGATGGAAAAGGGTCAGGCTGGGTGCTCTTTTCTGTAGGGGGGGCAGGTGGGCCTCTGAGGAGGCCATACGAAACAAAGGCCTAAAGGAAGCGAGGAAGTGAATTATGTGAACATTTGGGGGAGTTACTTCAGAGGTGGAGGCAAGAGCAAGTACAAAGGGCCCAGGCAGGAACAACCTCACCCTGTTTGTTGAAGAGCAAGGGCTTTGGATCATAGTGAGTGAGGAGAGTGGTAGCAAATGAGGTCAGGCAGTGAGGGCTTTCTCAGGGTGCCTGGGAGGTCATGGGGTTTAGCCCACGTGTAAAGGGAAGCTATGAGGTCAGGCAGTGAGGGCTTTCTCAGGGTGCCCGGGAGGTCATGGGACCAACTCGGGTTTAGCCCACGTGTAAAGGGAAGCTGTTTGAGTTTGAGGGTAGAATGGTGGCTTGGTTTTATTTATGTTTAATGTTAGCTGCTGTGTATATGTATGATTATTATTTTCTGTTTTTGCTTTGTTCATTGCAGTCACTAGTTGCTTTGTGGAGTGAGTTGAAATTCCCAGCTACAAAGTTTGTCAAACATTTTTCAATACAAAACAGATGTACTTGTCGATTCAGGTGGTTCTGTAGCTGTATCCAAACAATTCTATATCAGATTACCTTCAAATTCACAATTCCTGCTCTTCTGGCCTTAAATCCTAAATATTTCCAGTGATGTCTTCCATTAAAACATATTTTCATCATATAGCTTCCCTGCTCAAAAACCACAGTGGTTACCAGTACCTACAAAATATAGGCATTACCTTGCTACCTCCTGCTAAATTCTATTTCAAACGGTTGTTAACTAGAAGGCCTGTTAAACATTTTTTAGTACATGATGTGCTTATGTACTTAATATAAGGCCTCCTTTTATTAAATTCACCAAACATTTTCTCATTCACCTCTACCCAGACATATGAAAATACCTAACTGAATTGGGCCACCCAATTGAATAGTTTCCCAATTAAAAAAAAAAAAGTAAAAGGCAAAGGAATCTTTATAATAGATGGCAGTGTGTGGTACTCATTTGACTTCCCAGCAAAGGAAAGAATATTTCATAAGCTTCAAGGTGTTAGCAAACTCTGGTTCAGTTTCAGTAGATGACAGTGCTTCCATGAATTGCGAGTTAAAAGGTCTGTCTATAGTACAGACTCTATACAATCTGAAAAGACTAGTAAATTAAACAACCAGACCTATGAGAAGCAGTATGTTAGTCCAAACCAACTGTGCTGTAAAATATATTTGACACATTACATATTAAGTATTCTTGCCAAAATAAGTGAATCTGAATCTAGTCAAGCTTTTAGATGTGCTAGTTTACATAGGGGATAGAAGAACAGGTTAAATGACACCAAAGGGATACAGTCTTCCAAATACAGAACATGGGAAGTTCTGTGAGACCAATGATCCAATTTCCTCAAATAAATGCCAAGTGAAGGAGGAGGAAGAGTGCACTCTTGTAGGTTTAAAAGATTGAAGGGGCATTATTTGGATTTTATTTTGAACAGACTATAAAAAGAAGTATACAAGACTGGGAAATTCAACTGAAATTTCTATTTCAGTAGAAAGTCATACTGAGGATCTTACAGGTGAAATACGTCTGCAGTTTGCTCTAAAGTAATCCAGTGTGGGTGGAGGAATAAAGTAAATGAAATAAAACCCATCATTTGTTGATAATAATTGAACCGGACGATGGGTAAATGGAGAGTTTATAATAGTATTATATCTGATTTTTATGGATGCTTGAAATCTTGTAATAAAAACCATATGTATTTTTTTCTATCTTTCACTGTTTAGAATCTAAACTTTAGATCAGTAGAATAACCTTCCTAGCATGCTCAATGATCATACAGGGACTATCTTTGTGAAATATTTGGTTGAAAAAAAACACCTTCCTTGTCTGAATCTGGAACGGAGTTACATAGATTACTGCTGTTACAGATGTTAATTTCTGATAAAAATCGGACTAGCAAAGGAGACTAGATAGTTTGCCCTTACTGGCTGGCTTTGTCAGTCAGGGACCAGTCAGGAAAAGTATACCAGTTATTTTAAAAGAAAATTTAATAAAAGGACATTGTTAAGCAGGGGTTGGAGAACTACAGTGACAAAAATAGGCTACTGAGGTAAGAAAGTAATAGTAACTGCAAGCAGCAGGTACCACCTCATGTTCCCAGGCCCACTGGGAGGTTCAGTTGTTTGCTATGGGGGTTCACGGGACCCAACCTCTGGTTGTACTCAGCTATGACTTTTTCCGTGAGAGGATACAAAGGAAAATCAGTCCCGGGAAAAGGAGCACGTGGGATGCCTGGGGGGCCAGGTGCAAGCTTCACAGGTCCTTTCCCAGCGACGTCCTAGAACCACAAAGGACATGCTTAATTCTCCTGACAAGTTCTGTCATGTTGCCAACCAGAGACTGTTGCCAACATTCAAGACTCTCTGCCCAGGGTTTTTGTTTGGAGCTGATCACATAGGCACCCTCTACCTGGCATGCACCCAGATTTCAGGCTCCCCAAGGAAAGCTGATGTTCCACATAAACCGTATTGCTTGCACAGTTCAGGCACAGTGAGACAGTCTTCCTGGTTGTGGAGATGAGGGGGGCCCTCCTGAAATCCAAGGTACATGCCCTTGACCGGAATCGAACCTGGGACCCTACAGTCCACAGGCCGACGCTCTATCCACTGAGCCAAACCGGTCAGGGCATAAGGAGTACATTTTGTTGCAATGTCCTTAAAAGTGCTTTTGTTGCTATAGTCAGTTTGGCTTAATGGTTAGAGCGTGGGCCCTCAGACTGAAGGGTTTCCTGTTCAATTACAGTCAAGGGCACATACCTTGATTGCAGGCTTGATGCCTGCCCAGTCTTGTGTGCAGGAGGCAACCAATCACTGTATTTCTATCTCTCTCCCTCCCTTCCACTCTCTCTAAAAATCAATGGGGAAAAAAATTAACAAACAAAAAGGTGCTTTTGTTACCTTAGCAACTTCTACTGACATCTGGATGCGGTTGGTTTAGGCCAGGACACGTGCCCTCACTTAAAGCTGTCAGTCACTCTCTTCTTATAACCTCACCTCATTTAAATTAAGCCCATTTCCTTTCACTCATATATTTTCCCCTTTTAGTTTTAGGATTATTTTTTTAAATTATATTTTTATTGATTTCAGAGAGGAAGGGAGAGAAAGAGAGAGATGCTAGGTCGGATTATTTTTTCTTAAAAGAAAAGAAACAAAAGAATTGGTGAGTTCACTTTGTCTTCTGTTATATTGAACCATCCAGCTCAAGCAACAGAACTAGTTCATTATTCTTGCTCCACACAAAACTCTTTATTTTCCTTAGCATTTTATCATAAGCCTCAGCTCACTGAAAGTTTAGCCTTTCTTACACTATTCAGTTAGATTTCTGCCACTTTTAAATTACCTTTTTCCACTCAAGAAAATTTTATTTTTCTCTTTTCCCAAGTTAAGTTTACAGCCTGCTAAACATTTTACCCAAATGTGGGAAAACTGCCTGGAGATACAAAACTCAATAAAATAATGTTACATGGAAAGAACAAACAAAGATATCCATTAAAGCAAAGTTACAAAGAGGAAGGGAGAGGGATAGTTAGAAACATCAATGAGAGAGAAATATTGATCAGCTGCCTCCTGCACACTCCCTACTGGGGATGTGCCTGCAACAAAGGTACATGCCTTTGACCGGAATCGAACCTGTGACCCTTCACCTGGGACCCTTCAGTCTGCAGGCCGATGCTCTATCCATTGAGCTAAACCAGTTAGGGCCCCCTCTCAGTTTTTTCAAGCATCTTCAAAAGATAGGAAAACCTGTAAAACAGAAATCTGATGCTTAATCTGAAGGGTGGTCAGGGCAAGATCTATTCCCACTGTTAACGTATCAATGCAATCTTTGTGATGTATGTGTAGACCACGGAGTCATGCAACAGTATCTCTCTTGTGCATGTCAAGGCCTAGTGCACCTTCCCTAACATCCCTGGGTGCGTCCTTAGTTACCAGTTTATCATAAAAGGATACAACTCAGGAAGAGCCGACTCTGGCTGTGGGGCCAGGTGTGTGGAAAGGGAAGGGCTTGGAGCTCCCATGTTCTCCGAGTGCCCCGTCTCCCCAATGCCCCGTCTTCCCCAACCCAGAAGCTCCCATTTGTTTCTTGGGCAGGAGTGGGAGGCATTTCATCAGCATTAGTGCTGGCGACCAGTGGTTTCCTAAGAACCTATACAGTGGAAAGGCTTTACAATGTACAAGGTGGCGGAGTTCCTGCTGTGTCACTTAGTAACTGTGACCTTGCACATTTTCTGTAACCCCCCACCCCCTGCCCGAGTTACCCTCTCATTTTAAGTGGGATTAGGAACAGTTGCCCGCTTGAATAGTGTTTGGGAACATGTAAACAAAACTCCTACCCAAATGGTAAGTACTTCTGGAAAACAAAAAAGACCGTGAATTACAGCGGCTGAATGAATGTTCCCGCAGCGAAGCACTGCCGCAGCTGAGACAGATGCTAAGGTAAGCTTCTGTCTGACCCCCAGCCTCCTCCCCGGGAAGCCTTGCTTTTTATTTTTATTTTCTTATACTCTTTAAAATATATTTTATTGATATTTTGCAGAGAGGAAGGGAGAGGGATAGAGAGTTAGAAACATCGATGAGAGAGAAACATCGATGAGAGAGAAACATCGATCAGCTGCCTCCGG